CTGGCCTTCGTTCATTAGTGTTCAAAGCCTCAAATCTGTTCCTGAGATGGTTCTGAAATTCAGGTGGGATAGACTCAAAGTCATATTTTGGTTGCCTCGGATTTGGTTTAATTTTCCTCAGCTTTAGCTTGAATTTGCATATGAGTAGTTGGTGGTCTGTTCCACACCTGATGCAAAACTATAATTGTGATAATTTTTTTAAATTCTCAGATTTCTGCACTGAGTGGCCTGCTGCACTGGACAGTGATGAGAAATGTGAGAAGCATTTTCCAATTGAAATTGACACAGCTGATTATGTTTCCTCAGGACCATCTGTTCGAAATCCTAAAGCTCGAATAGTAACCTTAAGGGTAAGGGGAGTGTTTTGAAAAAATTATTGTAATACATTGTATTAAAATATCATTTTGTATATTTAAGATTAATATATACCTTCTATAGAGTATTTTGAAGATAGAAAAGTATTTTAAAGGGCAAAGTAAAATTGCCTATTACATTCCCACTCATACATAACTGTTGTTAATTACATGAGCTCATAGTCACAAATACACAGCCAACCTTTGTACATATTAATGAGATGATACTGTTTAATAATATATTCTTTACCCCTTAACAATACAAAGGAAACATTTTCTAACATTCTTTATTGTTAGATGTTATCAACTATGTTCCAACTCATAGCAACACAGGGTGCAAGATGCCAGTCCTGTGCCATCCTCAAGTCATTGCTGCGTTTGAGCCCATTGTCGCAGCCACTGCCAGTCCACTTTGTTGAGGATCTTTCTCTTTTTTCACTAACATTTACCAAGTATGCTGTCTTTCTCCTCCTAACAGGGCCAAAGTGTATGAGATGTCTAAGAAACAGTCTAAATGTACTTCTTCCAGGACAAATATGTTTCTTCTCATAGTCCATGCTGTATTTTGTATTCATTATCAGTGCTGTAATCTAAAGGCTTTAATTCTTCCTAGTCTGTAGAAAGTTGTGTTGCTACCTCAAAGGTGTTGCTTCTCTGCTGGTCTGAATCTAACAGTGATTCTTCAGGAGAAAGATGAGCAGTTGCCTCCTTTGGGATTTGCAGCTTTTGAAAACTTGCTGGAGGATCAGCTTGAGCCAGTTCTGACTCGATTACAATTAATTGATTCTTTGGTTTTCCTTACTCATTGTCCAACTTTCACATTGATGTGAAACAGTTAAAGTACCATGGCTTGGCAGACACCCTTTGATTTCAAAGATTCTTCATTTTTTTAACACTTTAAAGAGGCCTTTTTGCAGAAGATTTTCCCAAGACCATGTCTCTTATTTTCTTGAGTGCTGCTTACATAATTGTTAATTATGAATTCAAATTAAAACATTCTTTAGTATTTTTTTTTGTAACCTCTTAACAGTTTCACGCCCTCTTGAACTCTCTCTTCAAAGTTCTTTTCAACTTTCCCTTAGGTACTTATTGATTGTCGGTGCAGGTATTTAGCCTTAGATGGAGTTTACCCTCGACTTTACGCTGCATTCCCAAGCAACTCAACTTGGGAAGACCCGGACCCAGCATGCTGTTGGCTGCTACCAGCCTCACACCATCCACAGTCTGGGCCTCGATCAGAAGGACTAGCCTCCCCCCCCCCCACCATGGGTGGTGGTGTATTTAATATTATTTTAATGGGTACTTAAATTGTTGTTGTTGGGTGGGTGCTATTGAATCGAGTATGACTCACATGAACAACAGATCTGAAACCCTGTCCTGTCTATCCTCATCATCTCTAACATTTGAGCCTTTTGCTGCAGTCACTGTCATTTCATCTTGCAGAAGGTCTTTTTTACTGACCTTTCATCTTTCCAAACATGATGTCCCTTTCCCAAGAACAGCTCCTCCTAGCAATATGTCCAAAGTGTGTGAGATGTAGCTTCATTGTCTTTGCCTCCAAGGAGCACTCTGGCTGTATTTTTCAGGACAGGTCTTTTTGTTCTTTTTGCCGTCCATGGGCTATTCAGTACTTTTCAAAACCAGTAAGTGCAAACAGTGACATGTAAATGAGGTTCTGTTATGTGCCTCGACAATGTTTGATACTGGAGGGTGTGTCCAGGTTTCTTAATGCTGGTTTAACAAATACCACAAGTGGGTGTCTTTAACAAATAGAAATTAATTTTTTTCTTAGTTAAGGAATCTGTATCTAAATTCAAGGCACCAGCTGGATGAGAAGGCCTGCTTTCTTTCCGTGGACTCTGGGAAGACCCTTATCTCTTTTTAATTTGTGTTCTTCACTGCCTCAGTAGTCATGTGATCTGACATCTGTTTGTCTTTATTTGTCCTTGCTTGCTTCTGTATGTATTCCACATTTTCAACATTTCCAAAATGATTGGCTTTGAGACACATGCTATGCTGATACGGCCTCATTAACATGACAGAAGAATGATTCCCAGATGGAATGTAGTTACTGGAATAGAGGTTGGAGCAACATGATTCAGTACCTGACAGAGTCCAGTGCTAATCAGTTGATCAATTTTAGATGTAATTCTTTTTCTGAAGGAGGCGATAACAAAGAATTCCATAACACGTTATCTGCCAGAATATACTTGTTACCCTTGTTTTGGGACATTTAGGCTTTTTCTCCCCCAGTTTTCTTTATTAGAAAAATGTTACAATGAGTATCCTTAGAGATTAATATTTGTGTATATACATAATTATATTCCTAATATAACTATTATGTGAAAAGTAAAGATACTTTGAATTTTTTCATAGATTTTTTTTTAAAGTTCTGTAGGAAATACTCAAACTGCAATACCAGAAGATTGTTAGGAGGTCTGTTTTCCTGAGCCTTCATTAGCCTTCGATAGTTATTACTTACTCAATTGATAGATAGCAGAATTACAGCTCATAGAAAACTTATATGTGTTTGAATACAAGCAAGGTTGTGAGCTGCTTCTTTTGCAAAAAATATTGGGCTTTTTTTTGGTCATTCACTCATATGGATAGTATGTCTATTCTTATATACTTGTGGAGTTGTGTGGTTTTCTTAAAATAGTTTTATTGAGATAAGATTCATGTACTAGTTCATGACCCCATAAATATAATGTAGATATATATCAAGTAGTGTATAAAGTACATTTGCTCCGCAGGGTTTTCAAGGCTGCATCTTTTTTGAAACAGTTGGCTAGGCCTGGCTTCCAAAACACCTCAGAAAATATTTAACTTCCTGCCTTCTGACTAATTGTTAAGCCCTTAATCGTTTGGTTTGTGCCATCCAGGGATTTCTTTCCTTTTCCTACTACTATGCTTTTTAGGCTGTTCTGTGAAGGATACTGTATATTGATGCAGGATAAGTATTGTTCTCTGGAAAACCATAGTGGTACACTCCTTTGCCCCTTGGCTTAAGAAATCTCAAGCCTTCTCCGCAGTTACAGTCAAGGGTGGAAGTGTACTATGCTTTTTGAAAGAGATTTGCCCTTACTTAAGGGGCAGGGACTTAAGCTCCACCTCTTTGATGGGCAAGGATTATATAAATTGAATACAAGTCTACTGTTCTGTCTGCCTCAATTTAAAAAGTTTATTCAAACATTGGTTTATATGAGCATGAACTCATGAAGATTTACTTGACTTTATGCTTTGATTTTAATAATCCAAGAGTATGATATATTTTTGCTTAAATTATTTCTGCTCTGTTCATTGACAACCTTTTCCGTGGGCTCCTCTGTCTTTTTAACATAGCCTCATGCTTCTGTTTTTTGAGTACTTTGCTTTCTAGGACTACAGAAACTCTAGAATCATTTTGTACATTCCCTGCTCTTGTCCTAGAACTGTTCATCTCTTCAAGGAGCACTAACGACATTTATCAGTTTAATAATTTTTATGTGTATGATTAGGTGATATTAATTACATTTACCCTACTGTGCACCCATCACAGTACTATCTAGTTCCAGATATTTTATCACCCTTACCTGAAATTCAGTATTCAAGAAGCAGTCCTTCATCATATCTCCCTGTCATTTGCCCCTGGTAATCACTATGTAACTTTGGTCCTTAATGTATTTGCTTGTTGTAGATATTTTAAAAATGGGCTTATACATCTCTTCTTTTGTTTTTTACTCAATTCACTCAGCATAACATTTTCAAAGTTTCATCTATGTCATAGAAGGTATCAGCACATTCTCTTTATGGCATAAAAATATTCCGTTTGTCTTAGGAAGTTGTCTACTCTCAACTGGTCCAGTAAGTGTTGACTTTTTATTTGTTTGGGGTTTTTTGTTGTGGGTTTTTTTTTTAAATTGAGATTTTAATGAAAGTTTACCTAATCATATATTCCTTTTAAGCACTTCTTTCCCTCATCTGTTTCAATGCAGTGTACATTATTTATCACCTCTTTTCTTAGTTCTTCCTCAACCCCCATGTCAGTCCTGTTTTATAACCGTGGCATTATGCAGTATTTGCTCTTTTAAGAATTGGAGAATTGGAGTTCTGTTGCACATTTTCTCCCATTCAATCAGGATCTACCTTTCCTGGCACTAGTCACAATAATTGATGATAGTATTTGAGTTTTTGATTTCTTTCTTTGTCTTTTGTCTCTTGTGGAGACCAGTAACTTTATCTTGGCCTCTCACAAGTTTTTAAAACCCCATCAAGTTTGGATGTGGACTTTATGAATTACGTTATGCTAATTGACTGAGTTTTCCCATGAGATTGTGATCTTATGTATTCAAACACACAAAACCAGTCTCATATGTATTTGGTTAGATCTGCCATTGAATCAGGACCAGGCTTTTTTGTTACTCGACCTGTATAGTATGTTTTGTATTGGGAAGTGTGAGACATGCTTTGTTCTTCAGTATTACCTAATAATCAGTGATTATTAGGAACTTATTTTTTACATAAAGTGTATGGTTAACATTTCCATTTCAGTTAAAAATGTTTTGGAGTTTAGTTCAAGATTGAATTGCATTGCTTTGGGTAGTATTGGTACTGTCACAGTAATAAGGCTTCCAATCAGTGAGTTTAAAATCCCCTTATATATATCTAGATATTTTCCACTTCCTTGAAATAGTATTTTCAAATTTTCTTTTATATCCCTGGTTAGGATTATTCCTAGGTATTTT